TAAGTTTTATTGATTTACTTCAAACCCATTAAAGCTTAGACTCATTTTCATCATTTTGTGTATACTGATTTGTTGTTACCAAATTAAAAATAACGGTCTTAAGTAAAGGAAAAAGACAAGAGAGGAAAATTAGAATGGGGATAAAAATGATCCAAGAGCGATACACAACTGTATGTTTGGCCAAGTAACAGGCATTTTTTTGGGACTCATTTCTTTATGCAGATCACCCAGGCTAATCCTTTTTAATAACGTTTCACATCTTTCATATATTTGTTGAACCTTCACACATTAAATTATGCCTAGCTTTCCTTTTGAATTAAAGTTTTATCTTTGTGGAATGTTTTTTTTCCAACAGATTTTGAGTGAATTTTGTATTAGTGAAGAAACCTGACAGTGAGCTCAGTCTTTTGAGAATTGCAGCGATGCAGAGGAATTCATAAATATTTCACTTAGAAATTAAACGTAACCCCAGAAAGGCATGTTTCTGTCATTGTTATAACATAGTAATGAAGTCGATGCCATTTAAATGTAACCTACTACGTTTTCCACTAACACCCCTGTTGTATGTGCGTGGCTGTGTGTAGTGCGCCCTTTGCGACCTCTCAGATGTGTCTTTTCCTCTTTTCCGCATATCCCAGTGCATGTCCACTAAGGATACGCTTTGGCAACGTGAGCAAGTACCCCTTCGTCAGGACGTAGTTGTTTAATTGTTTCCTATGTTTGTGTATTTCATTTTAAAGAGAATAAATACCTCGAATCTGACAGCAGATTATGTATTGATCCCACAGCCAAGTTGGCCTGATAATAAATCAGAGGTTAAGGTGTCATTTATTGCATAATGTGATGTTTTTTTTGTCTAACGTTAAGACTGGGGTGGACGCCACTTCCTACAACTGCCCAGAACTACTATTGCTGCTTAGATATCGCATCAGCATTCAATGAGACAGCAGGAATAGGAAGAAATGTAAGATTTACATCGATACATAAAAGCTTCCTTTATTATAAAATCCCAATGCAGTCATGGATGAGAACATCATGTCAAAATAACGTGGCCACAAGTCAGAGTATTCGCAGTAGATTTATGACTAAAGAAAAAGACAGAAGCGTGCGTGCATGTGCACAGCATATTACAGTTTCACACGCTTCAGTCCACATACCTTTGCATCTTAGCTTCGCACCCCCTTTAGCGCATGAGTCTGGTCTCACGTGAAGTTGCATCACTTCTCTTGATTTCCTCGTTTCTCTCTCCGCTTTTAAAGTCCGTCATTAACGGGATTTAACAGCTGAGATTTCATAAAGACACAAGTGGACGGTTTCAGGGCGATGTGTTCCGGTCTCCCCCGCCTGATTGGAGCAAATAAATATGATGTCAGACGACCGCATGCGCCCCGGATTGGAGAGACCGGAGTAAACAAAGCGGCGAGGAGGAGGAGTAGGAGGAGTACAGGTCTCCACATCTCCAGACAGTCCGACCGACTCACTGAATCCGACTTTACGCACAGGGGAGGGCTAGCCCGGCGGCGCGTGCTCGTCTACAAAAAGCTGAAAGTTTCTGTGACAGTCTCGCGCTAATTGGTGACGCGTTGTTAAGCCTTTTGGAAAAGAAAAAAAGGGGACACTTACCGTCGTCTTTCGATCCGGACGTTGCGCAGGTTTTACATTTAGCCAAAGTATAGAGTTATTATCCAACTCAGCTCGCAGCTATTTCTTATTCACTACTAGATTAAGGGTTCATATGTGATCTTCATGTGATCTTACGTTGTTTTAACTTGCTTATTTATTTATTTATTTATTTGGTAGTTGTCGTTTTTTTTTTCTTTCCAAAATGATATTTGAAAAATTAAATCAGGGAAGTTGAACCATAGTAGACAGCAGGACGCGTGTTGAGAAAAAAGGCTAAAACTGTTAGAATCAGGACCCATCCTCACCATGGTTCGATAATCGGACGACAGGGAAGCAGAAAGTGAGAAAAGAAACAACAACCAAACAGCACCCAAAAAGAGCTTTGGGACACTTCGAGGTGTGTTTGTGTCAAAGTCTGCCTGACACATCCAGGTGTCCCGCCGAGCGGTGCGCAGTGTCCAGCTCAGGCCGGCAGTGCTGACATGCTGCCCAAAGTCGAGTCTGAATCCCTGGGACTCACTCGATCGTATGGGGAACAGGGGCACATGCCAAGGAACATGCAAGGTAAGCGCCTTCATTGCTCTGAATCCCCCTTCAACCTGATTATACAGCAGTTTCGTGAGTAAAAAGTTTGCGGACTAAAGTGAGCTGAATGCGTAAGAGCATGCACAAACTCTGAAAGGAGCGCATCTCCGTTACACGGAGAACCGAGGTAGACCAAGAACAGCGCAGTCCTGAGTGATATAAAGGAAATTAAAACACCGTGATATTGAGTTTGTATGCACCCCTAAACTTAATTCTAATGTAAAGACTTTATGGCACCTCGTTCCACCTTGGAAACAGTTTTAACGTGAGATTGCGCGGAAGCCTATTGCGTAAAAACAGGGTGACAGAGCAAAAGTGTTCTGGGTATTTCAGCTTCTCCAATTCAGTTTTTATATTTTTATAAATATACAACCTTATCAGAAGTACACAAGTGACATCGTTTTCATATACATTCTTATTAGAGGGAATTGTTGCCTGCTGATTGAGTCGTTTAAACTGCAGAGTTAAGGTTTTATCGTAAATATGACCAAATATTTCACGCCGGACTGGAAAAGTTTAATCTTCTAGTCTGCAAACCCAATCTCATCTAACGACAATATAAATCATTTTACACGTGTGCAAGGAAAATAGCTCAATTATATGTTTATCTTCTTAGTGTATGTTCTCTAAATTAAAGTTTTGTAGATGATGCCTTTTTTCTTTTTAACCAAAGTAACATTACTATGCCATAATAATGTGAAACAAAAAGTAAATTTGTCTGATACTTATACTTAATTTAACAGAGATAACTCAATTGGTATTTATTTTATATTCCATAAGTCTTGATGTTTGTGCCACATAAATTGGAAAGAGTTTTTCCCCAAAAAATCAACAGCATGGTTATGGTTTTGAAAAATGTCCACTGCCTGAGCACAACCTTAAATGCACTTGTACGTTTTTCAAACTGAACATAATTATTCAAATTCCCTCTTGCATACATTAATATATTTTTCTTGATCTTCCTGGAAAGAAGACTACATACCCAGCAGCGAACATTTAAAGACAGCCTCTCTCCTTTATACCCAGCATGTCATTCCATTGCAATAATCAATTAACCCGGTCTGGTTTATGAGACGTTGATAACATATCCACACTAAAGGCAAAGGGGTGCTTTGTCGCGGGAGTCCGTTAACTATTTTTTCAGAGATTTAAAAGGCAAAGAAGCTGCGAAGAAAAAAAAATAGATTTAAGTTGATTTGGAATCACCGTGCTTGACGAATGTCTTTTTGTGGGTCTGTATAAATCAGTGACGATCGTTTTCTGCATCTACTGCAGCATTATTTTTAACTGAGAAAAATCTGCATTCACACTTAAAGCCGCCATCAGATAAATGCTCTGAATGCAGTTAAACTATTACTGTGCTTTACTTAAAAACATATATTGCATGGATTTATCCAGACTATGACCCTTTATTAAAGCGATAATTTTTTTTAAAGACTAGATCAAACAGAAAAGTTCATTCAAAGCATGAAATGACGTGGATCAAGCCTGAGAAGCAAAAAAATTGATTTATTTTCGAAAATGGGGCCATCTAAAGAGAATACCTTTTTTGTGAACCGGTGCTTCTCCGCAAACATATGGCCAGTTAATATTTTTTGCTCTTTATCTGTCCCCAAATCTGCAGTGACCGAGCGTCATTTAAACACACCCTTTCGTGCGCTTTAAAACAACAATTAAGTTCAGAGATTGAATTTGCTCTAAGCTTCCTTGGAGGGAAAAACGCAAGAGCCTGGTGGAACTTGTTGCTTCAGTTTCGAAAACTCAAGATCCGAGCAAGGCAAGACGTTCACAAACGAGAAATCATGCCTAATTAAAGAATCTCAGTGAGCGGACTGGTGGATTTTTGAAGCAGAAGCCGGAGTGTGTGCGAAGGCCAGTAAAAGGCGTCTAGCTGACAAAATATTTCCCTTTTACAGCCACATCCAAAGAGGTTTTCCCGTTTGATCCTGGTTGCTTTTTTATGATTAGTGCCATAAATGCTTTTGTAACTGCTGTAAATGTCAACCTGACTGTTTACTTTGCGCTGTCACACATGGAGGTATTTTCAAAAACTAGCAAGAGAGGCAATGCGATCTTTAGATATTTTTAAATGCCTATATAGTGTCAATTATATTTAAAATAAAAAATACTGTATTTTATATTTGACCAAAGATTCGACAGTTCATGTCTCTGGCATTCGTCATAATGACTGAGCTTCTTTTAAATAAAATAAAAAGATTTAATCAGGCTGACAACTTTCTACAGGGGCACATACGATACTGCTGCTCCTTTTTGCAAATAATATAAATGCTTTGACCTGTGGCGTTAAGGATTTGTCTTTGAGATGGCAACATTTGTTGGTTTTGAATTTTTTTTCTCTTTCTAATCGCTTGCAGAGTTTAGGGGGTTTGTGTGTCTTCATTTGTCTGTGGGCGGTAACATTTTCTTTTCCAATCCTCCAGTCAAATATCTACGCATTTCCCCCAGCGATTTCACAACTTAGACGCATGCATATTTATGAGGCAGACTTCCGTAAGCCTTAAAAATGGGTTCTTGTCTGCATCAAATTTATAATATATGGCACTACAAGGGGAGAAAATAGTTGCACCCTTTCAACTTGCTACAAAATCATCTGTTCGTTCTTCTCAAACTGAATCTTTAGATGAACGGAACTTTGAAATTCTCACCCAGTCGCGGCGCGGGGTCCCTCGTGGTTCGCCTTGATGGATGAGAGTGGACTTTTGGGGAAAGAGATCGCGAGGCTTTTCAAACCGACTTCTGTGTGTGTGTCCTCCGCAGCTCCCCAGTTAAAAATGATGGACTACTCCTATGACGAAGACCTGGACGAGATGTGCCCCGTGTGCGGAGACAAGGTGTCAGGGTATCACTACGGACTCCTGACCTGCGAGAGCTGCAAGGTATGTCCACTCAGCCTTATAGTGGAAACCTAAAGAATGGTGCACTTGAATTTTGTCTGTGATTTCAGTCACCACAATGTGAAATGCACTGATATGGAAGCGTTGATGTCAATATTTTAACGTCTAAAATATTCCAACAGTTTATTTACCATAGGGTGGTCTGGTGGACCTATATTACAATTTTAATTCCTGTGGTGCGTCAAGGCTCGTTAGTGTTAGGAACAAAATTGCTGATGGTTTGTGGTAATGCCAGTCTTTTTATTCTGTATTTCATATGGAGTAACTTCACTTAGCCTAACTTTTCCTCAGATGTTATTGTTATTCTCTGTAGTATCAGCCTTTTAATGCAGATGCTTGTGAAACATTTTGCACATTGCCTTACTGATGTCCTCTCAACTTTGCGGTAGAGATGGATTTGAATGTATGGATTCATTGAGTCATTTATTTGTTGAAACCATTTTGAATGCAAGGCACTTAAGTTGAACTTTTTTTTGTCCCACGTGTGATTTCCAACAAGTGCAACAGCACAGCGACATTTCTTAAACGTCAGGCCGAAGAGGCCGAGGGTCAAAAATTGTTGTGACTGTTTCTCCAACAAACCTTTCCTGTGAGTGTCAGAAGATTTTTCTTTAATGGAAAGAAACAGGAGTTCAAAGGCATGCCTAGGGGTTTTTTTTCAGTTTTTTTGCAATGACCAGCCATGGAAGTTTGGGGATGTTCTAACCCCAGAGGCAGATCACATACAGTGATGTTTCTGTTTGCACAAGCTGGTGTTCTGTACTGTCTGACTCTCATCACCGGCTCATTAAGAGCTCCACCGCATTGTTGCAGGTTGATTGTGAGGCTATACAGCAAAAGTAAACTACACTTTTGTTTGAACTCTATCAACAACTTACTTGTTCCCCTTTATGCACCTCTCAACAAAGATCTATTTTTTTTTCAGTCATGTGAAGCTGTCAGTGCAAAATTAGGCTCAGACAAATGTCTCTGTGTTAACACTGTTCAGAGTAAAATTGCAGCTCGCAGTATTGATGCGGCATCACGCATTTCTTGCCTATGCGGTCATTATTCAAAGCAGATGTTATAGATTTTATCCCATATTTTGACCTTGAGATGCTGAGCTTTTGCTTGAGGGGAGACGTCAGTGGCATCTCTGCTGCTTCTCAGCCTCAGCACAGACGCCCGTTTCCCAGCTGAGTCGAAGCATTCTGCATTTGTGCACGCGCACGTGTGTCTGTGTGTGTGTATGTGTGTGTGTGTGTGTGTGTGCGTGCCCATGTGTGTGTCTGTGCGAGCGTGCAGGATGTAGATGAAGAGCCGTTTTTATAAAAACGCTGTATATCCTTGTTGAAACATTAATGATATTGATAATTACCTGAAGCCTGTCATTGATTATCTCTAAAATGAATCAGGTTGTATGATCATCAGGACTGGACGGATATATCAGCCTGCTGACACGTTACAGGTTCATTTGGACATTAGATATATGCTATGAGCCAGGGATTTGCAATCTGCCGGTGATTGAGGCTCGACTCTGCTGTTGCAGTCTGAAATAAGTGGTTGGATTTCTTTTTATTTTTAGTAATTCTTTTTATCCTTATATGGGTCCATTTTCAATCACAATACAGTCTTATTTTCAAATCCTTTAACTCATCTCCACTTCTTACACCAGGAGTTATGTTAACCCTCCAGAACACAAGTGGGAGTAGGACACACTATTCATCAGGACGAGATTTTCGGAGCTCAGTGCTCAGCAGCCAGCTTTTTCCTGTGGAACACACAGACTTACACACATGCAAAAGGAAAGTGCAAATCAAATTTACGGCGTAATTGTACGCATAAACACACACATCACCTTTTATTCAAGCTCACCGACAGTTTTAAATTCTGCACGCCAGCTCACATAAAGTAAACATGTTAGCACATCATATCTGTTGGAATACCAACAAGAAGCTCGGCCGCATGTCAAACTGCGTTTTTTTTTTAAGAGACTCGAGCTCAGAGACCAACAGAAGAACAACCTTGTAATCCTAAATTACAACTGCCCAAGCAAATAGTAAGAAACTTTTTTTTTAACCCTTTGTATTAAATTTAGACAGATTGCGAGAGCAACTTTGTAGAGTGATTAAACTAGAGGGGTCTGCATGAATTATATGTTTCAACTTCCTTTTTTCCTTTTCAGTGAATACAGTAAAAATAAATCAATAAAAACATTTCCAGTTTGCTTTTTTTAAAGGCAGCTTTTTCCTTTTGATGATAGAATGAAAACAAGGTTAGGGATTCCCATACATCAGATTGAGGAGGGATATTTTTTGTTTGAATTTCTTATAGCTTTGCAACAGTAAGTCACATGATTTCAGGCTGTTTGTGTTTTTTTTCTAAAGAAAATGTATTTCTGAACAACTGTTAACATCAGCAATGTCTGAAGGCAGCAATCTACTCATGCAGCTTTTGTCTTTATTTGGGCTGTAACTGTAAAAAGATCCTTTCAATGAGATGTTATGCTCTTAATCTCCAGAAAGCATGTATGAATCCTGCGAGGTTCTGATATTTATGGCGCACGCTGAGTGCTAAGTGGAAAAATTGGAGAGAAAGTCTTGTCTCAAGCATGTATTTTTTTTGGCACAGAGTGGTCGATTTTCCACAAGTAAATGTAGTGCTTTCAACCCCTCATCGCAAACCTCTTTTTTGTGTCTGATCAAGCAATGCAGATTGTCAATTAAATTTGTGTTTGGTGGGATATTGACAGCAGCTCACTCTTTTTTTATTTTATTTTAAAGACCAGGTTTAACTATTCTCCTCCTCGGTTATAGATCTGGAATACGTTAATATCATCTTCCTTCGTTTGATTTCCACTGCTGCTGCAGATAATAAATTCCATGTTGTAGGTATGAACCACTGTAATCCCGGAACTGTGAATTATGGATATAATTTATTGGATTCTTGAGACTCGTGTGCCTGTATTTTTCAATAATTAAGAAGGAGGCTGAAAAGATGCCTGCCGAGTAATTCCTGGAGTAAACAGAGAACACCGAAAGTGTAGGAACTAATTTAGATTTAATAAAGGAAAATTACATGATGAAAAATTATGTAATGAAGTTGGTTAATTGGAAGTTGGGTTTTTTTGTGTGTTTAAATCAATCAAAGTTGAATATATGTAGTCATCTTCCTATATACACACATAGATATGAAATACTCTCCAAGTAATGTTTTTTCTAATACAAGTATTGATATTGAGCAAAGTGTCTTCATTGCCTTTATTCTATTTGAGCTTCTATGTGTCTGGAGCTTTATATTGATAGGTTTTTGAAACATCCCGCTGTGCGTGTGTGTGTGTCTATGTGTTTCCATTAGGCTTGTCCCTCTCCATCTGTCTGTGAGTGTGAATGGGCCAATTACCATTGCATTGCAGGGGTCAATCGGGTTGACGTCTTAATTGGTTCTCTCCACAGGGCTTCTTCAAGCGCACCGTCCAGAACAACAAGCGTTACACATGTATAGAGAACCAGAGCTGCCAGATTGACAAGACCCAGAGAAAGCGCTGCCCGTACTGTCGCTTCCAAAAATGCCTCACTGTTGGCATGAAGCTTGAAGGTATGTCTTTTTAATTTGTTTTGTTATTTATTTTTTGTTTATGTTTAGCGCCTGTAATTTGATTAGTCTCCAGCTTCGTTATGAGGTCGTCGTGAGTCACGATGAAGCAGATTATTGTGTTAAAGGTACAACAGTGACTGTGGGTGGTGTTTTAAAATCTGGGATCCCTCAGAATAGATAAATAGGACACAGCTGTTTTCATAAGAGAAAAGGGGGTTCTTACATCCAAAAAAGTAGCAGTTAAAGTCAACACACCATTGTGGTTTCACTATCTTTCTTTAAGTTTCTCAAAGTAGACAGTCAGTACTACTGATGGTGTGAGTGTATTTCTACAGAAAAAGTGTTGTGATGAAAAAGGTTTGATTTATGATCATGTTGTCTAACGTAAAATACTGTTATTATCTTATTTATGACTCCTGTAGCTACATATTTACTTATTGACCTATTTGTTACATATTGTATTTAATTTTTGACAGAAAAAATTTAAAATGAGTTCAGCCATGTTTTTCTCATATTTTCTCAGATAATACTGGAATGTGTAGTTTAAACTTCAACACAGTAAATGTATATAATGTGCTGAACTGCACATCTGTTTTCAGTATGTCAGCATTCAGTTGTTTAAACTTTTTGGCTTTATGGTAAACAGTGATCACTGGTATATAATCTGGAGGTTACGTGACCCATCTGCCTCAGTGCAAAAGCAAATCTGGGCTCTGTCAGTGAGAGCCCATCTCCTTCTGTTAACTCGCAACTGAGCAGAGCTAGGATTCCAGTTAGTCATGGCTTTTCAACTTTCTTTCTCTTTCAGTCTCTCTTTATTTTGGAAACTCAAAAGTGAAAATATTCTTCGAGTGTTAATTTTCAAGTGAATTGCTTCCTCCCAAATTGAAATATCCACCATAAAAAAACCCTGCTCTGACAATATGATTGCAGATTGAAGATTCTATTTATCTAAGTATTTAATAGTGATCGTCTCAGTTATATCCGTTCCAGGGAAACCTTTCATTCAACTCGTGTGATGAAATCTAGCATTGCTTGTTGGTATTTGGGATGGGGTCAGAGGGAGTTGGGGGTATCTGGTAGCCACCATGCACTTAAACTTGCCAGACAAAGTAATAGATAGAATATTAGAGTTGGCCGTGATTCAATAATGGTAATGATGATACTTTTGGCTGGTCATTTCAAGGCCTCTTTGTTTGACTTGAACACAGCTCAGACGCTTCATTTTATTCAGCTATTCAGTAGTGACAGAGCTCCAGAGTGAGAAATAATCTTTCACTGTTCAAAGATTAACTTTAAAATCAGCATTAAATGAAAAGATTTCATCTGAAATTACCTATTTCAGAGTGAATTAGATCCGTGAGTCAGGAAGGTCACCAAGATTTTCTTTTCTTTTAAATAATGGATATATTGTCTCTGTATTTCAATACATTTATATATTGTGTCTTTCGTGTAGTTTCTCATGACGAGATGGAATTTTTTTACACATTTGTAGTTAGCTAAACTAACAATTCCAGGTCCCTTGAAATGATTGCATACAACCGAGATAAGATAAGTTAAAGAAACTGGACCCTGAGAGGTTGAAAATAAAACAAAGACAGCCCTGACAGAAATCCTGCAGGAGGCTGCTGCCTTTGCCTGCCATGTGCGCTTTAATTAATTGCTGTTAATTGTGAATGGCCGCTGGGCAGAATGTCCTGGCCTGTCATTTTCAAGCTGACACGGGCGGGGAGGAGGGTTAGTGTTTGATTTGTTTTGCCGGCGGTAACTTTCCGCTCGGGGGCAAGACGGGCCCTGCAGCACTCTGTCAGGTGCCAGAAGCTCTGGTGGGCGACTCCTGCCACAACCAGTAACTACCTCCCACACACAGAGGCTGACACCCCTCACCACACACACACACACACACTCACACACAGGGCAATACGCGCATGCACAAACACCTCTCCCTGTTAAACACACAACATTTATTCATGAGAAAGCCTCAAAAGTGTGTTTTGACGGCCACAGGCACAAGGAAGGAGCTGTCATTTCATCTTCAAAAAGAATTTTTTGGGGTCACTCTTGTTCCATCAGTCTTTGCCCGTAGCAACATGTTATGTGAGAAATCAAGTAGAAACTAAACTTTCTATGTTGTTGTTTTCTTCCACTTTTTATGTTGTGCGTTCACATTTGACACTGATATTGTACAATTTCCCTCGTGTTTGCTGAGAGGTCATTCGGTGTGTAGGGGGTTATAAGTTAATCTGTAATGTTTCAAAGCTGAAGAGAGGCAATGAATCCCGACAGAAAGCAGATAACGTGCCGTGACCCATTATGCCAGTAGTGGACCAGTCATATGGTTGTGATATGGTCGCTCAAATGTTGCTCCCTTTCTTTGAATAAAAGGGCTAAAAAGCACAGCCCAGGTTTTAAAATAAAGAATTTAATCCCAGGGAAGAACACTGTAAGATCTTTTTGACAACGTTGTAATAATTATGTAAATTTTTAAACGTTTTTTGTTTGTTATACAGTTGTAGAATACTTTTTTTTCTGTCAAAAAACAATTTTGGTCAAAATGTGACACAATTTTTACATGAAAATAAGAAACAACACTCAGGGACACACACTTTTAACTGTTGGAGCGCACGTACTGCAGAGCGCTTTCTCCTCTGTATGCTGTGTAGCTCTTCCTCCAGCATTGTCTCATTGAGAAAACAAGATTTGATCCATTAGGGCATCACTCGCTGAAGTCAATGAAGCATGCTATATCTGAACTGCTCCCACTGGCATGATTTTCTTTTTGCTTGCTAATAGTTGTCTTGTATCATATGCTTCACTGAGCTGCCTAATATTTCCTACTCTTATGCATCATGTTGAAGGCAGAGCCCAACAGTGGTATCAGGGCTGCTGTGAATTTGAAGACATTTGAAATCCACTGTTTGCCATTTCAGAAAAACAGACATTATATCATGTTTGAAAGATAGATAAGGAAAAACAATAACTGAAAGGATTAGTTTGCACATGCTGTGATGCTCGGATAAAGTACTGACCTGTTGCAGCTCAGTTTTAACAAACTAATATTTGGACACTGTTATAGTTTTAAAAACCATTCCCGTTAAAGAAAGTTGTTGTTTTTTTGCATTAAAATGCATTTAATTTGTGCACTCACAGCATCACAAACAAAATTAACTATCTTATCCATCTTTCAGTATTCAATCTTATTTTTTATACATTTTATCTTTGATGAAATTCAGATTTGTTGATTACTCATGTTTGATTTGCCACTTAGTTGAAATTAGCACTAAAGGTTGAGTGATTCTACATGCCCCTTTGCCTCGCTCAGCCTCTCTCTCCATTTTTTATTTTCTCCCCTTCTCCATCTTTCTTGCTCTGATTTGTCTTCCATCAGCGTCCCAGTACAAGCAGTGGAAGCCAGGGAGCTGTCCCATTACTTATGCATAGGTATCATAGGTATTCATGTGTGTGCATGGGATGGGGTGCATCCGGAGCACAGGCCAGGTCCCCGACATGACAAACAGGGTGTCAGCAAGGCTCCGCGGGACCCATTAATATGCTGGCAAGCGACAGGGATCTTCACCTACGCACGCTTAATATTCCTGTATATTAAACAACCATAAATCAGAGAATATAAGCACCGAGAGCTGTGTGTATGATATGTTTGAGTGTGTTAGAGGCTACATGAAGGTGTGTGCAGAGAACTGTATAATAAAAAATGCACTGTATACTGTCCTACAAATTTGAGAATTATGTGGGCCCCTTCTTGGAATAATAAGATTTAAGTTGGGTCATTTTAAAAGATTAAGAAATTGTAAACCCTAGTTTGTTTTTATGGTCTGAGGTGAATTCACAGAGAAAACAAAAAGCATCACATGCTTATCTTAGCATTAGTCCAAAAGCCTCTGCAATACTATATATATCAGATTATTTAAAATCTTAAATCTTGTATCTAAATAGATAAATAAGGTCTCCCTTATCTGTCAAGTTAAGATATTAGTTTTTGTATTTCCAGTTCATCTTTTTGTCCTCTGGCTCTCAACACCAGTGGTTTCTAAATACTGCTCAGAAGGAGTGTGCTGGACAATAGTATTCTTTTTCAAGTTTGAAGTTAGAATATAGGATAAGATGTTTTTTTTTGTTTTTTTTCACAAGCTAAAAGTACAAATACTAAAAAGCGTCATCTTGAGTCAAAACTTGTCAAAGAAGTTACAGAAGGTTTTAATGGAAGGGATAGCCGCTTTCCATAGAATTTTTTATTATGCCGTAGACGAGGCGTTTTTAACTATGTAAAGTTTCTCCTTTAGTATGTTGTATCTTTCCAATAAGATATCTCTACTTTATTCAAACACGCATTAAGCCTCAGCCCCATTGCACGAACTGTCCCTCTTCCCCTCCCCCTTCACATTAATCTGTGTTACATGAATACAAATCACCTTGTTTAATTAGAGACAAAAAATGTGTGTTTGTGTGTGTGTATGTGGTGGACCTACACCCCCCTGATGCTGGTATTCACGATGCGCTTTGGGTCCCTGAGTCCGAGGCAGGCAAGAAAAGCAGTCAGGGCCTAATTTTGTTTTCCCAGTAGAGCCAACTATTAGTTTCTCAGCTCATTAATTACACTGTTGTGGAGAATCATTAATAGTTAAAGTTCCCCTACAATAATGTATAATGGATACATTTGACGAGGCACCTGATTTCTTCTCCTTTTTTTTTCATGCTTGATCAATTTTTTAACAGTCATGATAATCCTTCTACTTGTGTGAGTGGACAGAGCAGAAAACCGTCTTTAAAAAAAAATCCCTGGGTTTAAATTACACAAAATTGTGTCTGTCAGGAGCTATTCAAGGTGCCGGAGTGTGTGGCTCACTCCAGTCTCTCTGGTTGGGAGCAGTGCCTGATGTTTTTCATGTTGGCCACTTTTTTGGTTTTTGGGCGTTTTTTGTGCATATGCATGTGTGAGAAACCCAGGGCAGTGTGAGAGTGTGTGTCTGTGTGTGTGTGTGAATGTCTGCTCTCTTGGCCGTACCCGTTCAGATAGGCGACAGGCCCTTTTTGTGACGAAGGTCATTAAAATCCCTCCCAAGGCAGACCGGCTTACATGTGAATGAGAGTGCGTCTTTGTGCAAATGACTGCCCATCTTTGCCACCCAAACTTCAAATCTCTACCACACCCTCTTCACACCCCTTCTTCAGTTTTCCTCCTCTGTTCCTTCACTCATCTGTCAGGAAATCGCAAGCTCAAGAACATCCAACATGAATCACTATCTTATTTGACCGTTGAGCATATATGAGCAGTTCGAATATGAATGCATGTGCAGTTATATGTCAGTTTCCTTAAAAAAACAAAGAAGCCCTAACTAAATTCAGTAGGTCTACTACTCTGTACTATTGGTATTAATAAGTGTTTTTTTTTTCTCCTATCCCAGACGTCCGTTAGCTCTTTGCATGCTGGGTTGTGTGAGCCATGTCAGAATAAGAGGTAATTAAGTATGAATAATTAACACCAGCGCCCCCCAACTGAGAGACAGCAGAGCAGCTTCCCCATGGCAGCAGTCGGCCAGATCACACATGGTCTTCAGTGCAGTCCACTGTGTGCCCAGTTCGTTCATTAGAAATACCCACGGCACAGACTTGTTGTGATCCTCACCACAGGAACCTACACTGACGGGGTCGGCAGGGGGCATCACGAGTATATTTGTTTCATCAGAAAAAAAAGAGCCCTTATCAGATTATTGTCAGGCTTTTCTGCCTTTGGTTTTTCTAAAGAAGAAGTCTATGTTAATTGACTGCGACATTCTAAGGGCTTTTACATATTGCCCTATCAGTACGAACATGTGTTTTGGAGAGAGAAGTAAAATTTTGTTGGGGAAGTTTACCCCAGTAATGAGCTCACGAGCTGCAGAGAGATCACCAGCTGTACAATGATCATTCAGCGCAGTGGTTCATTTGACTTTGAGTCTCTGGTCAATGAATAACGTTGGTATCTGTTAGATCTGTGGGCTTTAGGAGTCAACAAAGTAATGTCAAGTGTAGCCATCATAGGAAAACCTTTGCCCTACATGCAGATGAGAACTAAGGAATTTACCTCTAAACACCACACATATGTGTATCTCTACACAAATGGACACCTTTATAGCTAAGCCAAAACGATTATTTAAGCTATAAACTCTGTTACACTCTGTCCTCGACCAACTTTAGTAGTTATTCTTTGCCTTTCTTTAACAATATTTTCACTAAATTAATAATTTTATCTTAATAGTTTATTACTTTAAACAATTCTGCATTGCTGATTGTACCGCATTTCAATAGTAATTTGTTGTGTAATGTAAAGAATTTCACATCCTGTGTAATTAATCCTTTGCATTCCTTTTCTTTCATTTCTATCGTCTGTGTTCTTGCCAGCTGTACGGGCAGATCGCATGCGTGGTGGTCGCAACAAGTTTGGTCCAATGTACAAGCGTGACCGTGCCCTTAAGCAGCAAAAGAAGGCGCTGATCCGAGCAAACGGCCTGAAGATCGAAGCCATGAGCCAGGTGATGCAAGCTGTACCCACTGACCTCACTATCTCCTCAGCCATTCAGAACATCCACTCAGCAGCTTCCAAGGGCCTCCCACTGAGCCATCACGCCGGCCACCACGCTGGTCACCACCACCACCACCACCACCACCATCATCATGCTACTGCCCTGCCCCCCACAGACTACGACCGCAGCCCATTTGTCACTTCGCCAGTCAGTATGGCAATGCCACCACATGCCGGTAGTCTCCAGGGCTACCAGACGGCCTACGGACACTTCCAGGGTACACGCACCATCAAATCTGAGTACCCAGACCCTTACACCAGCTCACCAGAGTCCATCATGGGCTATGCTTATGTTGACGCCTACCAATCAGGTTCACCACCCAGCTTTCCCCATCTGATTGTAGAGCTACTAAAGTGTGAGCCTGACGAGCCGCAGGTTCAGGCTAAGATCCTGGCCTATCTACAGCAGGAGCAGGCCAGCCGGGGCAAGCATGAGAAGCTGAACACGTTCGGCCTCATGTGCAAGATGGCCGACCAAACACTCTTCTCCATTGTGGAATGGGCACGCAGCAGCATTTTCTTCCGCGAACTAAAGGTAGGGGTGCATGGTAATTCATATGAATTCAATGTTAGTCTATTTTTTATCTGTATCTTTTCATCAACCACTGAGAACACTTAACTCAGCTCACCATGCTGTAAATTCAGTTGACCTTTGATCTCTCCCTAGCTTAAAACCTGACACAGAATGTACAATGCCGTGAGGGGAAAAGTGGGGTCTCTGTTCATTGCTGGCACAGCTGTCTTCCCTACTGCCCATTAAAATTCAGTCAGTTTTATTAACCAACCGCATGTCAGACCGTTGCTGTGGGTTTTAAAATCTGTGACTGTCAGCTTCAGGAAAATTTCTTGTTAATGAAGTCTGAGGTTTTCATCTGAATTAGATGTTATCCCCTTGAAACATGTCTGATATCTTAATCAAGACACATTGATATTCAATACGTTGACTATCTAATGCAAAATACCTTTTCTATTAAATCTTGCCTATTGGTTACTATCAATTTTCTTTCTCTTTTGTTAGATAACTTCAGTCCCTTATTATTCGTTTGAAATAATGTCCTTATTCTTTTCCAACGATCGTTTCTAAGACTCAGCTCAACATATTTAAAAAGTGTAAAATCACTCATTCATAGACCAGACATGGCAGAGTTTTTAGTCCTGTTTCAAATTACCTGTTGCTGACTCTGTACTTTTAAATGTTCAGATGTGCCTAGGTCCATAAAAGAGCTGTTGCTTTCCTACCTGTTCTTTGAATATTCCAGCAAAATCAAAAAAAGGTTAAGCACAAAAAGTCCATGTGTATATGGGGGAAATCATTTTCTATAAAATGGGAACTTTTAACAAACAGAGATAGGCTTAAAAATCATGCACACTTTTTTAGTATTTAAGACTTTCAATCACATATAACCATCTTTCAAAGCCACACCGTAAATCCCTACTACAACTCATCAGAGAGCCCAAGGGAGAGTTTCTGGTGTGTGTTTGTCTGTTTTCACAGCTTTATTTTCTCTGAATGAAGGTTAATGTGTGGGACCGTCATGAAAGCATTTGATTAGCGTGTTCACCTGTTTTATTCTTCCCCGTTTTTGATTCTTTCTTTCTGTTTGTTTCACTCTACATCGCCAAAGGCTTAGCTGCATATTCATGCGCCCGTTGCAAAATCCTCTCCAAATATTTAATCTATTTTGTTTTCAAACGAGAAAATAACAAATGAAAAATATTCTATATAAAAAATTGAGCCAATTACGGCACACACAAGAGTCCTTGAAAAATACGTGTTGACATTTAGCATGCGCCGTGTCCCCACTATTGACATTATTGAGATCTGCATTCAACATAAATGCACCATTCACGCACGCACACAAACACACACACATGCACACAAAATCACTGAAGGGTGTGGTCACACTTAATAACTGTGTGTGGTTTGCTCATTAACTTTGAATGATCATTTCTGTTCCATTGTGAAACCTCTCCATTTCTCACACCCTCCTCCTAATTCAATTATCTCACCCACTCCCCGATTTGTTGCTGAATGAACTATCATTATGTTTCCCTAATGACTACTCATATTACTCTAGCTTAATAGTAATTGAGCTGAGTGTCTGTTACAAAGGTACAAAATGACCCGGGCTTAATGGAGGAGAAAGCTCCCCTCTTTTTACACAGGCCCATAGCTTTCTGGGGAAGGTGGGACTGCATTTCACAAGAGTGAGGGAGATAATTGAACTTGCCCCACTTCCCCCTGTTTTAAAAACATCATCCAAAATACAAGGGGTTTTGATAAATAATTTTCTGGCTGTGGCTCCGGTAGATGTTCCCACACGTTCGACAATCCTCTCCTCCTTGCTTGTTTCTCTTTAGCAACAACTGTGAGGGCTGTGGAGCAAAGATTAGTGTTGGAGCGGGCCACAACTGTTTTTCGTTGGCTGATAGTGAACGCATTGGTGAAATGCACCATAATCATTTTTTTATTCTACGATATATCTCCATAGTGGATTGCTTTGTAGGTTCATCTGAGCTGCGGCTTGTGTAGTAATTGTGTGGTGTGTTCTGAATGAACGTGTATCTCTTTTACTGCTTTAGGAATTTTTCACTGCAGTTCAACACCAAATTATGTCGAAAAAATGCCACATGTGGCCTCTGCTCTCTCCATTTTATCCCAATATTAATAATTTGTGTGTTTTGATAATACCTTTGAATTCCTGTGAATGTATTACTCATTTTGCACCAAAATTAGTGTATGTGCTTAAAGAGAGGACAACACATTGGTCGTGTGTATTGCAAACACGTTTAGTGTTTGTAAGATCATCTCCATTATATACTAAGATCAAACCAACAACTAAAATGATGGTTGTTCCAGTGTCTTGATCTCTGAACACTAATTCAGGTTTAACGAATCGAGGTTTGAATCCATTTCACCTTTGACCCCTTCTGTTTGTAGAGATCTGGTTATGAGAAATGATGTTGAGCGCGGACCAGAGAAGCAGGAAGCAGATTTGAATAAAAAGTTGGTTACAAGAGTGGTGTGCCACTGTAGGAAGTTATAAATACACCTTCAACTCACACACACTCACAGACACACAGCTCCACATTAAAACAGACACCACTCACACACAACATCCAAGCCCGCTCACTATTATTAGCTCTGTAAGAACAAAAGAATTTCTCTAGTAATGGAGCCAAGCTGGAAGGGTGTGTGCGAGGCGTCTGCCAAAAAAGCGTTTAAAGATGTAGTTTCCATAAGTTGGCCTCAGTCACAGGACTCATAAATATTTTGCCATTAGGGGAACTTTCTAAAGAGCGCTCCCTATTCTTTTCCATTGTGGCACTTCACATTTCTTCCTCATACGCTTTCCATCTGGGAATGAAGCATGACGTGAGGGGTCGTTTATTCCTAACACCTTGGATCGGAGAAATTGGAGCTGGCTCTTTTTGCCAACTTTGCAGCAGTTTGATCAATTTAGAACATCAACATTTGAGTGTGGCAGGTCTTGGTTTTGAAATCAGAGTCATGATGAAGGAAAGTTTTGGCAAGGCTGACACCATGGTCACTTGTGATTACTGTATAAAATTTTAAGTGAGACAGGTGCATGTGTGAATGTGCAGGTGTGCGGTTATGAAGTTGGACTTGGTGTGTGGAATTAATTTTAGTATGCATGTGCGAGTACATGTTTTCTTTCTGTATAATATCTTAAAAAGGTGTATGTCTATTTTTTAAATGATTGAGCTTTAGCTGAACCTCTTAAAACTGCCACTGTGACAATTTCCACCACAGAAACTGCTGAAGTGTAGTGAAATAGTTAGCTTCTATTCTTTACTTCATTGCTGAAAATGTACATTTTATAGATAGATTGTTTTGGATGTGTTTGGATAAGTGTGTATGTGTTATTATCAAAATGGGTGACATGAAATATGAATCCTGTTGGTTTGTGCGATGCATTAAAAACTGCAGCTGTGGTTAGTTAAGTTTGAGTATGTCATTTCACAAATGGATCCCATTGTTTGAGAGGAACCAGTGTGTTTGTCTCTTACTGACACATGCTGGGACACTGCCACCACTTACAGCTTACATTGTCCACTCCTGTCCCTCTATGAACCTCCTCCTATTGCCAACGCTGGCATGTTTGTGTTTTAGTGGGGATCTTCTAAAAGGTGCTTTAAAACTCTTTAAAGAGAGCTGCTGGCAGGGTTTGGCCTTGAATATGTGAATGATTTGTTTTGTTTAGAAATACTGAATCTTGTGGATATTGGTCTCTCGGCTGATAGCAAGTTTAGACAAACCACAGGCCAATGCAACCAAATGAATGCAGTGTTTTCACATTTCTTGTCTTATGAAGGAAAACTAAACAAATGAAAAAGTACACACGTCAACATGAGGCAAACACTAGATGTGAGAATATTGATCTGAGAATGAACATCACGATACCCTGCTTGAAATCTTTAGATGCAGTCACATTGAATACTACTCTAATTTTCTGGTTAGCAAATGTGTTTTCTCCATGTGGCATCTTCTATTTTGTGGCTGGTGTGGTGCAGCCCTCTCCTTCATTGTTTCGACATTGGGCTGGCAAGCCTGACTCCCTCCACAAACACAATGGGAAAAAGCTGGGGGATCGGGACGATTGATGATTCATATGTTTGTGTCTTAACTTTGTGTAGTACTCCCTTTTCACTACAGCAACCCCACCCTCTTTTCCTCTCTACGCCCTTTAATAAAAAGGACGTGTGTTGTTCAGAAAACAAGCACTTTTGTGCACCTTGTCAACGCATGACACACAGATGTTCACATGGAAAACACAACATTAGATGATATTTATAAGCGGGTATATGTTTATCACAGCTATAACACAGTAAAGACAAGAGTAAAATAAGCACCTTTTTCAGTTTATTTTTTTATTATTTTTATTTTTTTGTTGATGTTTTCCTAACATTCATAATTATTTGTCACATTCACCCTGCATTTATTCTTCAACTTGTCAATATTCAAACTTTCTATAATGCATTTTACCCTGTCCATTATGGCCAATTAATTCTTACTTATACAGAACAAGAGTCTGTTACAAAAATGTGTATCAACTTACTCTTGACAAATAAAGTAGATAAAAAGAATTAGTTTAGCAGATTTTAAAATCCAGGTGAAGTTCATCAATATTTTTAAGCACAGTGTATGTGAGGCACATGATTATAATGATTGCTTACAAATGACAGAGCAGCTTACAAAAGGACTGTGTGTTGTGTAATAGGAAGCATCTGCATCATTCCCAAGAATTTCCTTTTTTTTTGTTGAGGTTTTAATATGCACACGTTCAAAACTGTGAATGTGCATATATTTGTACTCTTACAAAGAAAAAAATAAAATAAAATATCCAATAGAAATGAGAAATGTGACATCACATTTTCATTTAGGTGTCAAGAAACAGAGGATCAGTGGTTTTTTGATTGATCCAGGAAATTTTTCTATGGCCATTTTTAAGTTTGGATTTTCTTTTTCCTCTGTTTTGCTCTGCATGTAGCAGGAATGGCAAAAGCAGAACTGAGGGCCATTATGTTGAGGAGGAACTGCATTAGAAGTCATGTTCCCTGGGAAAGCTCCCAGCTGAGATGGGACAGCCATATTGGATAAACAGATGGCAGGGGGAGAGGAAGGGACAGGAGAGGAGAACGGAGGTGAAACAAAGAGGGGGAGATGAAGGAGAGATGAGCATGGGAGGAATGTGAAAAGAGAGGGGGAGAGGGAAAGAAAGGAGCGGGCTTAACAAAGACGAGAGATGAGGGACTATTGTAACAGTCAGGTCACCCCAAAAACCCCATCCCCCTATGAGTGTTGTCACATTTGCTATCACTTGGCAATTTGTTATTGAATATAAGTAGTAATGCAAAATAATAATAGTTTGCTCATTCCACTGTGTAAATTCTCAAAGCACTTAAATATATGTGAGTGTGTGTACATATATATATACATACAACTCCAGAAGTCACAAATCCGTTTTACACAGGCCTTTTTTCGTATTTGTTTTCCCTCACCTCCAGTTAGTACATTTATTTTCCTCTAGTTGAAATGTAAAAATATGCTAAGCAGATATGACAGAAACCTACAATAAGCTAAAAATAAAAAAAATGCATTCATTTTAAGATGTCAAATCATTTACACATTCTATTTCATTATTATAGACAGTTCCTCTAAGTGGCTGTGCATCAGTCAGTCTATATGACAAATCCCCTGGATGGGACAGGATTGTTATATGAATGAACACGCTGCAGTTATAGATTTACTTGGGTGAATAATGTAAAGACCTCTGGTGCACCTTGATCTACCATGCAGCATAATTTCACCTTTATCTACATCCATAAATATTACATGAATTTACGTTGGTAAAAAATATATTTACACCACCACCAACCAGTTTCAGACAGGACGTTCTTCTTCTACAGTCTTAGTTATCCTCTTTCTGCACACCCTCACACCTTTTGTCAATACCTATCCAGAAGCAGTTTAATATTAAAATTGAATGTACATGTCTACGTGGGGAATCAAGTTGGTCTGCTGCCTCTGCTCTGACCAGTGATTGCACCTTTGCTTTTTTTTTTTTTTCTTCACGCCCCATAACTGAGTGGAAATTAATAAGCCGTTTTAGGCGTGATCTTTGAACCCTGGGAAGTGCTATATCCATACCACACACACACACACACCAACAAAGATTCAAACCCTCGGGCGACAATGTCTGTCTTGTCACAGAGGTCAACGGTCCCACCTGCAAAAACCTCCCCTCCCACTGACACCCTTTTCCTGACAAACTGCAAGTGTGATGAGGCTGGCGGCCGCACGCCATTGGCAGAGATTTGTAACTGTGTCCCTGGTCCATTGCATTTGAATTATTCTGCGGGTTATGCTGCAGTCCCCGGCACAAACTCCCACCACATTAGATGAATAGAAAGGAGTTTTAGAGAAGCACGCGAGAAGGGAGAAGGATAAAGAAACATATTGGGAGAGATAAAGAGGAGGGGACCAAGTTTGAAGTTAACAAAAGGCAGGGAGGAAGATTGACAAAGACTGTAAGATGAGAGGAAAAATTGAGCAGAGGAGGGAAGAAGAACGTTTTTCTTTTTTTTAAAGGAAAGATTAGTGACTATGAATGAAAGAGAGGACAAAAAAAGTAAGTTGACTAATAAAAAACAAAAAAGAATAACTACAGAGAAAAAAGAGTGTTGAGAGGTAATGAGGGATGGCCAAAAAATGACAGAAAGAGGGAAATTAGAAGAGGGGGGGGGGGGGGTAATGGAAAGATGAACAAGGGACTGTGAGAGGCAACAACCAAGGGCAAGAGGAGGAGGTGGAGGAGAAGAGGGGGCATAGTGAAGGACAACAGGGGAGGGTGAAAAGAGGACCGGTAGGTTGATGGGGTAAGGTGGGGGTCTAAGGGGGGGAACAGGTGGAAGGTTAATGGGCCTGGAGCGGATCCACCAGACGCTCTTGGGCTTGATATATGGGTCCGGGACCTGGCGCAGGGCGTAGGCTTTCAAAGATATATTATTTCATTTGAGGAGCAGCACCATTCTAGCTGACACCCCCCCCCCTTGCCACAATCACCCATTCTTGCCCCCACTTCCACAAGCATCCACCCCCCCACAGACTAGCATTTGTCCAGTGATAGATGACACCCCCCTCCCACCACACCAACTCAACTCAAACGCATATACATTAACAAAAACATGCAGTATTGCTCCTCCAAAACTGAACCATTGTCTTGTGCAGACTTTGGTTTTTGTGGTGAGAGACAGAGGGTAAATTTTCACTTCTTTTAGCTTTTTGTCTACCTGTGTCTAACTATTACACGTACCTTATTTCTTTCTCTATTTCTCGCCTCTTTTTTTTTCCACACTTGGCCCTCCCTACTGAGAGTCTCCCAGGCTGCAGGCCGGTCTTATGGCTGGCTGTGTGCTTTTTTAAGTTTCTATTTTAGTGGTAACAATATCTGTTTGATCAGTAGCACTGGGTCAGAGCAGGAGTTGAGGGGATACTTAAAGGGAGGGAGAGACTGGTGGAAGTTCACAAAGGCCTCTTTTCATTCATGAATTATTGACCGTCATGCAAGACATCACTCTTTTTTTCATAAATACTGTAAAACGTGCCTCCTGATTCTCTTTTTTTTTCTCCCTTTTTTTTCTCCGACAAATTCTGATACAAAATTGTTAAAGTCTTATCTGTGGATAAGTTTTGAGGAGACCACGTATGATGGATAGAAATTAACAAACCGGAGGCAGTTCTGTACCTGCAGGGATTTAATAGACACCCAAAGAAGAATGCAAAACTGAAGAGTGATTAAAGGATCTCACAGGTTATATGTTAATCATCAATATTAAGGTAAAAAATGCAAACAGGTATGCACTGTGATGCTCCTATGCGGTCATATATTTCTCATAGTGAAAATCAAATTTCCAGTCTGGTCCTCCATTGCCTGTCAGCCTTAGCATCACAGAGACAGCCATGCTGCATACGGGTACGGTGCTGTTGGTTCGACCCCATGGGACAGCCAGAGGCCGGAAGGAAGAACAGGAAACTTGTTAAAAGAGAAGATTTAAGGTCACCTGTCCCAGAGGAGCAGAAGCATGAAGGAGATGACAGGGGTTGGGAGGTTTTAGCATCCACAAAATCTGCTCATCCACTTGTGGCTTTGATGAGGGATGAAAGGCTGTCATGAAGTACAAGTTTACAGAGCTCTAAGCAATGATAGACTCGACTGTCCTCAACAACATTTCCTCCACACATACTGCTTCTTTCTGTCTCGAGGAATTTTGGCTCGTACTTCCTCTTTTCTTTCCTTACAATAACTGAAAATTGCCACTCAGCACATGAAAACGCTGGCAGAACGCTCACAAGACATGCAGCTGTTCACAGATGGACATGTCCGGATCAGGTGTCTGCACTACCACACAAAACCTGAATGAGAGATGACTTTTTCAGCTTCAGTGTATTTATGCTTTTGGCCGTCTCACTATTCCCCTACAACGTCCTGCCGATGTTGTTGCAATGAAAAGCCAAGATTGCCTCCACTGCCTTTTCTAGTTGCTACCATTTCCCAGCAAGTTAACAGAGCCTGATTCGCATTTGTGAGCACTTTGAGCATTTGGGACGAGAAAGAGGAGGTCGTGTTTAAGTCTTGTTTGAGGATGATCAGGGTAAAAGCCTTTTTTATTGGCAGGTCATGCTGCTTGTTAAGATGGTGATGCAGGTGACAAGGCTGTGATGTTAGCCTCAGTGAGTCTCAAAGCAACATGGGCGTTCTTTCACAAGTTGGCAATAGCAAGTAAAATCAGCTGGAAGAGGGAGACTGGGAGATTGAAAGCAAAGGAAGTGGAAATGAAAGACAAAGAAATTGGGCAAACAAAGTGGATATGGGGACTTGATTTAGTTGGGTGGAATGCTAACAAATCAACTAAACACTGTGAAAACACTTGGCACACTCCACAAAAGTACAAAGCAGCTTTTTCCTTTCTTTCCCCTCTTCTCCTGTGGTTGTGGTTAATGTTGAAAATATATTTTATCATGGAAATTTCCACTGTCAATACCTCCTATCAGAAAGTCTGCAAGAAAAACAAACCGAAAGAGCTAAAATAATGTTTTTTTATCTGCAAGCATATTGAGTGGTGGAAGGTAGCAATGAGTTATCAGCATATTGTTAGTGAAGTGACAAACATACCATCCTAGGAGCTGAAGTTTTGGTTTTAAATTGTTCCTGGCTCTAAGGTTTCCAAGAGGTCAAAGGGTCTGATGTGTGGCCGATGCAGCCTTGTGCTGACCTCCACCTTTTAACTAAACCCACTATAAAGAGCAACACAAACATGTCATATCATTTCAACAAAGGGTCATAAATAGTAGGTCTCAAATATGATATATATACAAAGAAATTATTATAAATAAGAAAATCATTTAATTTGTTAATGGAATTGTGTATATTGAGAACGCAAGGCTTGAAATATGAAGAAAAACACATAAAGTACCCTCTGTTCTCAATATGCATGGCTTCAATTATCTTCTTGTAACCCAGCCGGCCAAGAGGCTGTGCTTGTGTCTACTGCTTTCGTCACCAGGCTGTCAACAGTTGTCCTCCGATGTCTATTTCTGATGCTTATTTACAGCTTGTCTATTCTGGACAGGGAGTTTAGGGAGGGTGGGGGGTCAGGGTTCCAAGAGACAATAGATAAGACAGTGGTGGGGTAGAGTCGAAGGTCTGCCTTCTAGTTTTGGACTTGAAGAGTGGAGGGGTATTTATATTCATATTGCAAGGTGGGTGATTGAATTTGCACACTGATGACTGATGTATGCAATTGAAACACTAGACTTTGTGGTTGTGTTGTGACGACGGGCAAGAAGCTTCAATAGGGCTCCACCAAACAAGGACCAAGCTGAGAAAACAACTTTAGGTCCATCGACACATGTTTCCTTTGCCTCCCTTTTCTGGTTTAAGTTTTTTTACTTTACCCTTTATATTACTTTTATACAGGACTATTACTTTTGTTTTATTAGTTTGACACTATT